TGAAATGATGCAGGAAGGTTTTCAAACAATCAGAATTATTATGGAAAACACTACTAATGTATTGCTTGTAAATGGAGAAATTCGGACAGTTATTGTTTTAAGAGCTTTGCTTCTTTTCTCACAATTTGAGGAAATATTGATGAAAAGCAAAGTATGGGTTATGCCAGGCCAAATAGATTTCACTTCGATGCCTTTTCAAAGAAATTGGGACATCCACTTCATCCATGGTGCAATTTCTTTTGCAATTCAGTCCAAGGCCATGCCAAGATTCCAGCAGTTTCTCCAGTTCAGAAATCCTGCTTCGGAAGAAGAGGATGGTTTTATCAAGCTTTTCTGGGAAGGTGCATTCAACTGTTATTTCCCCAGTCCCACTTTAGAAAAGAATGCTGGCAAAACCTGCACTGGGGATGAGAAGCTCGAGACTCTTCTTACCTCTGTTTTTGAAATAAGCATGGCTCCCCATAGCTACAGCATCTACAATGCCATCCATGCAGTGGCAGAAGGTTTGCCTGCTATATATTCATCCAAATTAAAAAACAAAGCAATGGTAGATGAAGGGAGATGGGATCTTTGCAATCGAAAACCATGGCAGGTGACAATGACCATGAAACTTTAACTCAGAACTGTTGGCTTTATATGAGAATACAGCAGCAGTCTCTAGACTGTGGAGCAAAGTGATGTACATCATGGTTGGATGTGGGCATCCAAGCATTGGGTCTGTCATGCTTGCTATTTTTTTGTTTTATTAAATGTTTTAATAAATAAATAAATAAATAAATAAATAAATAAATATTTTAAAGACACTGTATGGGATCCCATTAAAACAAGAACTAAGTGTTCCTGATCTTGCTTTTGATGTTTTTGTGTCCTCTCAAGTCTTCTCGTGATTTATGCAGACCCTGTGAGTGAAAACGCTCCCAAAAGTCCTGGGAATGACACCCTGCTTGGCTGTTCACTGATCTTGCAGTGTTACACAATATATATGCATGAAAGTGCAAGGCTATTTGTATAGCTGCATGTCTTTGTCTTTCTTTTAAAATTTCACTTTATCCTTAAAGGATCTCTATGGTTTGGCACAAGAGTGATAGTGGACAAGCCACACCTCCCTATACACTTCTGAATAGTGGGATGTTCTTGCCCCTGAGAATGATTTTTCTGCTAAATATAAGATTTGTATCAGGGAACAATGGCAATTCATTTCTCTGTTTTTATTATCTCATACTAAACCTACTTGATAGGTCCGTGATTTTATTATGATTCTAGTTGTAATGAATTAAGTCTCAATCTGTCAGTGGATGCTTGGAATTGTAGTCCAACATTTCTGTAAGGCATGGGTATGAAAACATTGAGAAGTGTTTAACTTATGCCAGCTTCAAGGCACGTGCACTTTGCTGGTTATAACAAACTGAAGCTCTGATAACTTTGATACCACCATGATACATATAATTACATGTGTTTGTATTCCACCCCAGGTGACTAGATTCAGTTTTTCTATGCTATTGTTTTCCTATATTCCCCTGAGTGTTAGGAAGGCAGATGTTCAAGAAGTTTAATAAGCAAAGACCCAATTTATTTATTTATTTAGAAAATTTCTAGGCCACCACATTCGCCAAAACCTTAGGGCGGCTTACAAATAAATAACTTAAAATACATAAGTAACAATATAAAATACACATAATTGTATGAAATAAGTCGCCCTGGCCAAAACACTTTAAAATAAAACTAACATTAACAATTAAAATGATGCTTGAATAAAAAGATCTTTGCCTGGCGCCAAAAAACAAATACTGACGGCACCAGGCGGACGTCTCTGGGGAGCGCATTCCATAGATTGGGTGCCACTGCAGAGAAAGCCCCCCTCCGAGTACTTATCCTCCTAATTTCCTTCACGGAAGTTTCCCGGAGAAGGGCCGCTCCCGCTGATCTCAGGGGGTGGGCGGTCATATATGGATGTAAACGCTCCTTCAGGTAGACAGGACCCGAGCCGTTTAGGGCTTTATAAGTGATCACCAACACCTTGAATTGGGCCCAGACTTCAATGGGAAGCCAGTGAAGCTGACGGAGGACTGGAGTCATGTGAGCATAACGCCCAGTCCCCATCAACAGCCTGGCAGCTCTATTCTGAACCAATTGAAGTATCCGGACCGTCTTCAAGGGTAGCCCCACGTAGATCGCGTTGCAGAAGTCAAGTCAGGAAGTCACCAACGTGAGCGTAACTGTCACCAGGCAGTCATACTCCAGATAGGGGGGCAGCTGATGGATCAGCCAAAGCTGAAGGAAAGCGCTCCTCGCCACTGCTGTCACCTGAGCTTCCAATGAAAGCTCCGGGTCGAGGAGCACTCCCAGGCTGCGGACAATGTCCATAAGAGGGAGTGCAACCCCATTCAGGACTAGGTCAAATCCACCCTCTCCGAAGCCCGATCTGCAAACCAAAAAGACCTCCGTCTTGTCTGGATTGAGCTTCAGTTTATTGGCTTTCATCCAGCCCATTACCTCGGCCAAGCACCGGTTCAGTACAGCCACTGCCTCACCTGGATTGGTGGAAAATGAGAGGTAGAGCTGGGTATCATCAGCATACTGATGATTCCGTAGCCCTCCTGATGACCTCTCCCAGAGGTTTCATGTAGATGTTAAACAGCAAAGGGGACAAAATGGACCCCTGTGGAACTCCATGGCATAGCTGCCATGGCACAGAGCCATAGTCCCCCAGCACCACCTTCTGGAAACTGTCATTGAGATAAGAGCGGAACCTCTGCAAAGCAGTGCCTCTGACCCCCACTCCTGCTAGCCTATCCAGAAGGATACCATGGTCGATGATATCGAAAGCCGCTGAGAGGTCCAGGAGAACCAACAGATGTGCACTCCCGCTGTCCTTCTCCCTGCACAGGTCATCATACAGGACGACCAAGGCAGATTCAAGACTGTACCCGGGTCTGAAGCCGGACTGAAATGGGTCTAGATAATCAGTTTCATCCAAGAGTGCTTGGAGTTGTCCCGCCACCACCCGCTCTAACACCTTGCCCAGAAACGGGTTGTTGGCCACTGGTCTATAATTAGTGGCCATCTCTGGATTCAGTGATGCTTTCTTCAGGACTGGTCGGACTACCACCTCCTTTAAAGAGACAGGTACCTGACCCTCCCTCAGAGAAGAGTTAACCACTTCCAAGATCCAGATCCCAATCCTAT